TGGGCGGCTGGCTGCTCCCCCTGTGCTGTATGACAGCTCCATGTACTCCTGCACAGCTCCCTCACAAAATGCCCCAGGGTCCAGGCAGTGCTCGAGGACAGCAGCACCCACAGCACTGCTGGGGCTTTTACACGTAACACAACCCCAAACGTCAGCACTTCCTCTGCTAACATGTGCTGGTGCTGTGTGTGCCAGCAGCCACCCGAGGTGCTGTGATAACGGGGCTCCTTCCAACCAAGAGGTGCACAGCACCAGGTAGCGTGGGGAAGGGAAGCTGAGGTGAACACAGCACCAGAAGCACTCAGTTCTGCTTTGTGAGACTGCAGTCACCTCACAGGTGTGCTGTCCTTGCCTGGGGCTGACCCTGTGGGGCTCTGAGTGAGGTTCCTGGTGGCATGCAGCAGCTGGGAGCTCTATTATTTAGAACAGAATAGAATCGTTCGGTTGGAAGGGACCTTCAGAGACCAGGCTGCCCAGAGCCACATCCAGCCTGGCCTTGGATGCCTGCAGGGATGGGGCATCCACAGCCTCCTTGGGCAACCTGTTCCAGTGCCTCACCACCCTCTGCCTGAAAAACTTCCTCCTCATATCCAAACTGATCCTCCCCTGTCTCACTTTCAAACCATTCCCCCTTGTCCTGTCACCATCAACCCTTTGTAAACAGCTGTGCAGATCCCCCTGCACAGTGTCCTTACCAAACCTGCTAAGGATGCATTCAACTCCTGCATCTAGATCATTGATGAAGATGTTCATTGAACAGGACCAGCCCTAAATGGGAGCCCCTAATGACCATCCACCAGGCAGACATAGCCCCATTTCATAGAGCCGTGGAATCAAGAAGGATGGAAAAGCCCTTCAAGATCCCCAAGCCCAACCCCAGCCCACCCCACCATGCCCACTGGCCGTGTCCCTCACTGTCACATCCCCACAGCCCTGGAACACCCCCGGGGACAGTGACCCCCCCTCCCTGGGCAGCTGTGCCATGTACTCCAGCCCCTTGTTTCTGACTGTCTCTCTGCACAGATGAGGGTGTTGGTTCCATCACTGCTCAGCAAACACGGCAGTTGCTGATCCCTCAGCGCTGAGCCTGGCTCTGAAGATCAGTGCATCATCCAGTCAGCCTGGGAGCACCACGCACCACGGCTGGACACCCAACGAGCTCTCGTTTCTGAGAGGTGACAGAAGGAATATCTGGAACTGATCAGGAAATGGAAATAAATTGGGGGTTGTTTGTTTCTCTATGTGGTTGGAAAAAGGCCTGCAGAAGGAAAAAAAAAACACTGCATCTTGATTCATTTGAAGCCTGTGCTGTGCTCACAGATCTTTGCCCTCAGGTGCTTTGTGTTTTATTCGCTCTTTTTTGAAAAACAATAGCAGGTGGAGCAGTTGTTTCACGTTATGAGGATGTGACTGTGCGTCATGGGTTAAACTGCTGCAGGGGAACAGCAGCCTCCTCCCCTCCAGCACTGCTGTGGCAAGATCAGAACAACCACCATCAACGCCCAAGAGGCAAATTTGGAAGGAAATGTAACACGAAAACCAAGCTTCCTGAGGCTGCACAACACTGTACCTCCACCCAGCCCCGAGGCAGCTGTGGTTGGAATGGAGCGTCTGTGCTCACAGGTTCCTGTTGCTGTAGGTTTGTATGGCAGGGGTTGTTCCAGCAGGCTGCCTCAGCTTCATGATTGAATGGCACCGAGCTGGGACAGGACCCAAAGCTGAACCAAGGTTGTTTCACCTCCAGGTCCCACGGTGTGAAGCCACAAGACAACAGATCTGATTCTGCTGTGGATAAAGGCGACAGACCTACTGAGGAGTGCATGGCTCCCACCTCATAGAATCATCCAGTCATTAAGGTTGGAAAAGACAACTAAGATCGTCAGTTCCAACCATCCACCTCTTGCCTTCGTGCTCTGAGCTGGTGTGAAAGCACCTGGGAGCCTGGCGCACTGCAGCCAACGATGACGGACCAAGGGGGAGATGCAGGGATTTGCATCCTACCCCACTCCAGAGCTGACTATGCTGTGATGTCCTAATGTGGAGCCCTCTCTGGACCAAGGGGTCTGAACACCTCTGGGCTACAGGGGAAGCTGTGAGCATCTTATCTCTCATGAGGTTTCATATGGGATCTGCTCTATGAGGAGAAAATAGGATGGAAAATTCTAATCCTCCTCATCTTGGTTGTTCTGTGCATCTTTACACACTATGCTAATGTCCCAATTTTAATAATGTGTCTCTCAGGGCAACTTTTCACAAGGCAGTGCAATAAACAAGGCCACCAAAATGACCCAGCCTAAAAATATCTCTTCATTTCCCTCATTTGGGTGGAATTACATTTAATTCCTTGACCCAGGCCTATCTGTAGAGATGCTGCTTGTTTGCAGACTGCTCTCCTGCAAGCTGCAGGACACTGCACTGCTGCAGGACCACAGCAGCTCCTGGTGGATGGCGTGGGATGAAGGCAGCCACCCTCACCAAGAGAATGGCTCTGTCTTCTTTGGTTTCCTTTTACTCACGTGAATTCAGTTGCAGTCAACCCACAAAGACTTTTTGTGTTCCTTCAGGGTTGCCAGCTTAGTGGACGCCGGGCAGCTCAAGTCCCATTCCCATCCCCAGAGGTGCTCTTGGATGAAAAGAGCCAAATTTGTACTGGAGGTGATTCTTCTTTCCCTCTTCCCGGCGGTGGTGGGGGTAGTCCTGGCTGCAGGGGTATTTCCAGGTTCTGAAGAACCTGCTCCGTTCAGAGGTCAGAAACAGCCCCAGATGGAGCATCATGGACATGGCCAAAGTGAGGCAGAGCCAGAGCACTGGCCATGAAAAAATGCAGGTGACACTGGGATGGACAGGAGCTGGTATGCAGAGCAGGGCAGCGGTCTGACCCAGTGTCCCTGGATTGGAGGCGGAGATGCTGAGAGCTCCGTGCTGGAATGGGGTGCTATGGGAGAAATGCTTCACGGGTAGATCGCAGCTTTAACCTCAGCTCTCTTTCAGCTGCTGATGCAGAGCCCGTTTCTCTGCTCCTTGTTGGACTGGGTGATTTTCCAGAGACCAGCTGGGAAAGCAGGGTGACAATGATGGGTGTTTTGGGGGATTCAACCAGCAAACATCACCTGGAACAGGAGATTCTCAACACAGCTCCTTCCTCACGCTGGGCGGATGTCCGGCCTGGAGGGCACAGAGGATCCCTGCATCCTTTAGTACCACTCTCCCCTCTTCCTCATGCCCTCATGCCTGCAGCACAGGGTGGGAGCTCATCACCTCTCCTCTGCGCTGGGTCAGAAGTTTGCAGTGCCCTGGTGCTCTCCTGCCAGGCACTGGAATGGGCTGCCCAGGGAGGTGGTGGATTCACAGACCCTGGAGGTGTTCAAGGGACGTTTGGACGTTGTGTTGAGGGACATGGATTAGTGAGAGCTATTGGTGATGGGTGGGTGGTCGGACTGGGTGATCTTGGAGGTCTTTTCCAACCTTGGTGTTTCTGTGATTCTGCCAGGGCACAGGGATGCTCTTCTGCACGTCTCAGCCCAGACACACGAGGAGTGCAGCGTGAAACCACGACCTGACAGAGGCTTGGAGCTGCAGCCGGCCACCCCAGCACGCACCTTGGCTCCACAGCTCACAGCTATGGGGTGAGTAGCTCGGGGGGACCATGTGGCCACGGCTGCCTGAGGGCTGGCAGGACCTGGGTGCACAGCGAGATGGGGCGGAGCTGCACCTGGCACAGGTGAGCACACCCTGCAGAAGGAAATGCCGCACAGCGGGGATCTCCACACAACGGGGCTCCCGGCCCCCGCCGCTCCAACGGAGCCCACGGTAGGACTGGGACCCTGGGGACGTCCTTGCACTGTCCTGACCTTGCTCCCAGCACTGGGGACCCGCTGGGTGCAGGTCCCCCTCTCCCCAGCCCCACGGTGGTTGGGTGCCCCAATGAGTTCTGCTGGGAGCGGCGCTGGGGACGCTCGGGTTGCATGGGGGTTCTGCAGTGCGTTGTCCCTCAGGCGCTGCAGTGGTGGGAAGCCCTTGGGGCAGCCCTTGCAGGCTGTGTCCCCATCCCCATGGGGCACAGCTGTGGAGGTTCTCAGAATGCATAGTGTTGGGTGTTGTGCTGGGTGCAGGCAGGGCTCCCACCCACCCAGGCAGGCTGTGTCTGCTGCGCCCCGCTCTGAGCTTAGAGGAACTGATGCACAGCGGAAGCCTGAGCATCTGCAGAGGGCTGAAGTGCCCCCACTGCTTTCCCTGCTTTCTTCACTCAATGGCTCATGCTGTGACCCCATGGCTGGGATGTGGGTGCGTTGGGTGGGTGCGCAAAGTGCAGGAGCAGCACCCCAGGCTTAGATACCCCCTGGCTTCCATGCTCGGGCTGGCTCCTGTAATCACATGGGGCATCCCCATGCTGTGCTTCCCGGACGGCTCTGACGCAGCACCAGGCAAAGGGCAGAGCCCTCCCCGTGGCCTTGTCCTGGTGGCACGGTTCCTGCAATCTGCAGTTTGTTTGTGTCACCCAGACAGTCAGTGCAGTGCTCTGTTATCTCACGGGCACAGGGGTGGCTCTGTTGTGGGGCACAGCCCCGCACTGGCGCTGGCACTGAGGGGAAGTGCCCATGAACTTTGCACCAGAGCAACCAGGAGTGCCCTGCAGAGACTCTGAGCACCCCAAATGCCCACATCCCAGGGCACCCCACAGCATCACCCTGCAGCACTGCATGATGCAACAAACACAGCTGCTCATGGCTGCTCCACTGCCTGCAGGGAGGTACATGCTGGATTTTGGGGTTTCTGCAGCCTCTGGGGACTGCAGAGCTGGAGGAGTGCTTTCCATGCAGCTGGATGCAGATCACTTTCCATATGGCCCATCACATTGTTAGGGAGGAGTGGTGCAGATCAAGGAGCCCTAGCCCTTGTCCTGCTCATCCCAAGTCCTGTATGCAAGTGAACTGAGCACAGAGTGGCCCCTGCACACCACCCTGAGCCAGAACCCTTATCTTGGCACTGTGTGCACAGTGATGCTTCTTCCTCACCCCATCCTCCTCATCCTCCTCTGCTCTGGTGTGATCTTGGGCGTGTGTTCCCAATTCTTTGTTCCTCTGCAGGTGAACATCTTCCAGACACAGGATCCGATCACCCCCCAACCTTGGGCAGAGCCCCCAGCTCCAGTGGGGAGCCCGGCCCCCAACCCACCCCGCGACACCTGGGCTGGGCGGCACACCTTCCTGCTCTCCTGCCTGGGCTACTGCGTGGGGCTGGGCAACGTCTGGCGCTTCCCCTACCTGTGCTACCGCAATGGAGGAGGTGGGTGCTGCCCCAGCGCTGGGGCTCAGCGTGCTCGGGGGGCTGAGGGTCCTGTGCTGCCCTCTGGCCCCACTGCTTTAACCCCAGTGCGAGGTGCAGGGTGCCCAAGTTGGCTCCATGGTGCCATGCAGGAATGAGGATGTGCCCAGCACTACAGCAGGGAGGATGCGCCCGGGCCGAGCTTTGCACCTTGCCTTCACCAAGGAATTTGGCCCCAGGGCAGGGCTGTGGATGCTGCTCTGCTTTGGGGCGTGGGTGTGGGGTTCGGTGTGTCCATCCCTGCATTCATCCCCAGTGGCCCCACTGCCAGCACTCCGTGCTCTGTGCAGTGCAGTGGGGAAGAAGTGGTGCACATAGCTGGGTGTTTCCTGGGGCTGGGATGGGCAGCAGGAGCCCACGCTGCCCTTTGGGCTTCACATCCATGGGGCTCCTGGTCTGGGTGGAAAGGGACCTTGAATACCACCCACCCCCCTTCGTGGGCAGGAACATCTCCCATGGTCCAGGGGCCCAAAACCCCACCTGAGGCCTTGTGCAATAACTGCCAGGGATGGGTGCTCACAGCTCTCTGGGGAGCCCGGGGGCTTTCCCTGCCCTGTGCCCATCTCCTGGGGGGTTGCAGGACCTGGTGTGTCCTCTGGCCATCCCCCGACCCGCTGCCCCTCTCCTCCTCCCAGGCGTCTTCCTCATCCCCTACTTCCTCATGCTGCTCCTGGTGGGGCTGCCTCTCTTCCTGATGGAGCTGAGCCTGGGGCAGTACGGGGCCGCGGGGCCCATCGCCGTCTGGAAGTGCTGCCCCATCCTGCAAGGTAGGCCCAGCACCAAGGGCACCTCTCCCCGTGCTCCTCTCAGCTCCCAGGCCCTCCGAGGCAGGCACGGAGCAGCCCCTCTCCCCGGTGCAGGTGTTGGTGTGGGCATGCTGGTTGTGTCCTCCCTGGTGTCCATCTACTACAATGTCATCATCGCTTGGGCGTTCTACTACCTGGGTTCGTCCTTCCAGAGCCCCCTGCCCTGGTCCTGCGATGCCCCCCGGAACGCAGAGCTCTGCCAGGTCAGCGGCCCTCAGCAGGGATGGGGCAGGGGATCCGGGGATGTGGATCCCTCAGGGTCAGGCTTTACCTGCAGCTGGGGAAGGGGCAGCAGAGCAGGCTGGGGCTGGGGCCAGGGAGGGTTGGACGGGGGTGATGATGATGGTGGTGATGGTGGGGGTGATGGTGGGAATGGTGATGGTGGGGGGTGATGATGATGATGATGGTTTTGATAGTGATGGTGGTGGTGATGATGATGATGGGAGTGGTGGTAGTGTTGTTGATGGCGATGATGTTGATGATGACGGTGGTGATGTTGATGATGGTGATGATGGTGATGATGTTGATGATGGTGGTGATGATGATAATGATGGTGGTGGTGATGATGATGGTGGTGGTGATGATGATGGTACCTTGCAGAATGCATCAGGGAGTGCTACTGATGCCAGTGCCAGTGAGGCTTTCTGGAAGTAAGTTGGTGGAAGCAAGCTGGCTCCTTCCCCCTGGTCCCACAGTGTGGGGGCTCTGGGATTCAGCATCCCTGTCCCACTGACTCCCATCCCCACACCTCAGCGAGCAGGTGCTGGGAGTGACACACAGCTCTGGCCTTGGTGACCCCGGCTCTGTGCAGTGGCTGCTTGCACTGTGTCTGCTGGCAGCCTGGCTTGTGGTCTTCCTCTGCATGCTAAGGGGCATCCACAGCTCAGGCAAGGTGAGCGGGGCGGGGGCATGGCTGGGGCTCGGGGGTGCTGCGCCAACAGAGTGGGGCTGAGCTGTGCCCTGTGCAGGTGGTGTACATCACGGCCACCTTCCCCTACCTGATCCTCCTCATCCTCATCATCCGTGGGGCCACGCTGCCCGGCTCCCTCGATGGCGTCCGCTTCTACCTCTCCTCGGATTGGAGCAAGCTGCTGAGCGCGCAGGTAACGCCACGCTGGGGCCGGGCACTGTGAGAGCCGTGGGCACCCCCAGATGGGGGCAGTGGGGTGGGTGGGACCCTACAGCCCCCCGTGGCCTCATGCCCCCAGGTGTGGAGTGATGCAGCCTCGCAGATCTTCTACTCACTGGGCATCGGCTTTGGGGGGCTGCTGTCCATGGCCTCCTACAACAAGTTTGACAACAACGTCGTTCGGTGAGCTGGGAGCGGGTGCTGAGGGGCAGCAATGGGGGTGTGTGGTCCCTGGGGACGCATGGCCCCAGCGGGGTGCCCCACACCATCCTCCCCGTGGATGTGGGGTAGTGATGTTCTCCCTGGCAGGGACACCCTGGTCATCGCCGTCGGGAACTGCTGCACCAGTTTCTTTGCTGGCTTTGCCATCTTCTCGGTGCTGGGACACATGGCCTTGAAGAGGGACATCCCTGTGGGCAGCGTCGCTGAGTCTGGTATGGCTTTGGAGACACGGGGTGCTGTGTGAGGGGATGCAGTTGAGCAGCACGGTGTTCTCCCTCATCCTCATGTCCCCATTCTGCAGGCCCTGGGCTGGCGTTCGTGGCGTACCCTGAGGCACTCTCCCTGCTACCTGGTTCCCCATTCTGGTCCATCCTCTTCTTCCTGATGCTCTTCATGCTGGGAGTGGACACTTTGGTGATTGTCACACTGGGAAGCCCCCTGTCCCGCCCTGTGCCTGGCCTTGGGGTGCCAGGTACACCCTGACCTCGGCATGCAGGAGGCAAAATGTGCACAGAACGTGGGGCTGGGGGGCTCTGTGTGCGGGGCTGCCACTGGGGTGGGATGCAGCCACGTCCCCATGGTTGGGGTCCACGCAGGGAGGTGAGGCAGCTATGTGCCCCTGGTGGGGATGCACCCAAGGCCACGTGTGTTCAGTGCAATGGGGACAAGGGTGCTGTCAACCCAATGGGGACCGTCCTGGTCAAGGTGGGTTTCCTGCCACCCTCCCTGACATCCCTATCCCTCAGTTTGGGAACATCGAGGCCATCACCACCGCCATCATGGATGAGTTCCCAGCCCTGCGGGAGGGGAGAAGAAAGGTGATGCTCCTGGCTGTGCTCTGCTTCTCCTTCTTCCTCCTGGGACTCCTCCTCGTCACCCAGGTGCGTGGGGCCCATGCTGGATGCATCCTGGGGTTTGTCCTGGGGACACAGAGGGCCATGCCTGCCCCCCTGCATGGATCCCAGGTGCTGACCCCACGTCCTGCCCACTCATAGGGGGGCATCTTCTGGTTCACCCTCATCGACACCTACAGCACCGGCTTCGGGCTGATCATCATCACCCTCCTCATGTGCATCGGCATCGCCTCCTGCTATGGTGAGCGGAGCTGGGGGGCTCCAAGGAGCAGAGCTGGGGGGTTCCATGGAGCAGAGCTGGGCTGTGATGTTCGCTGCACCCTGGGAAGCAGTTTCAGCACTGCCCACCCACATGTGGGGCTGCTCAGCACCATCCTGATGTCATGGGGGGCACAGGCGCTGTGGGTGCCTGGCACAGAGCCCTGCTGGGGTGGGGGGCTGGCTGTGACCCCGTGTCCCACAGGCATTGAGCGGTTCTGCCGGGACATCGTGACCATGATCTGCCTCTGCCCGCCGTGGTACAGCCGTGTGCTGGGCTGCTTCAAGGTGTGCTGGGTCTTCTTCACCCCCTGCCTGCTGCTGGTGAGTGCTGGGCACTGCCTGAGCTCCTCTCGGGCAGGGGGGCAGCCCGGGTGGCCCTGATGTCCCCACGGTGCCGTCACCACACTGCTGCCCACTCCATCCTCACAGTTCACACTCATCTTCACGTTCCTGGACATGTACAACATTCCCCTGAGCTACGGCACCTATGAGTTCCCAGCGTGGGGCACCAGCCTGGGTGTCTGCATGGGCGTCCTCAGCTGTGTGCAGATCCCCATCGGTGCCATCGTGGCTCTGTGCCACCAGACTGGGACACTGACTGACGTGAGTGTGAACTGGGCAGGGTGGGGGATGGGGTGGAACGGGGATAGAGACTGAATGGGGATGGGGGTGGGATAGAGGTGGGGATGGGATGGGATGAGGGTCAGGATGGAATGGGGATGGGATGGAAATGGGGATGGGATGGGGGTGGGGATGGAATGGAGATGGGATGGGGGTGGGGATGGGGATAGGAAGAAAGGCAGGAATGCAGAGATGGGGATGGGGTTGGGACGGGGATAGGAACAGTGATGGGAGCAGAGCAGGGGCTGACCCACTGCTGGAGACAGGGACAGAGAGGGCAGTAACAGACCGGGGCTGATGCTCTCTCCTCACCAAGAGAGAAAAGGGGCTGAAGCCACGAGGTCTGGGCGCAGTGTGGGGGCTGAACGACTCTGCAGCAGTCTCCCACCCTCGTGCACCCACAGCGCTTCCAGAAAGCCATGCAGCCCCTGCACTCCTGGGGGACGGCCGCCGCCAGCGCCGAGGACATCATCGAGGTGCCCTTCACCATCACCCTGAGCAGCAGCGACTTCACCACACCGCCGCACAGCGAGAGCTGAACCGGAGCCGGGCAGCGCCGTGGTGATGCATCCCAGAGGTTGGTGATCACTGATCCCAGCGTGGATTTTAATCCTCTTTCCTGGAAACGTTCTGTGTGCTCCAAAAGGCGCCTCGAAGGGACTCTCTATGAGCAGGGCTGGTGGTCTGGGCTGCGCTCCAGTCTTTTGCTGGCCCGTGGGTACCACCTCCTCTGAGCACTTTGGGGCTGCCAGTGGGGCTGGCAGTGTTCTGCCTGCAGCAGCCGCCTCTGCGTGGCCCTGTGCACATCCTGAGCCCGGGGCTGGATGGCCCAAGGGCGAGCCTGGAGCTTCAGGGGCTGCAGCACACCGATGCAATGAGCTCCTTTCCAGCTCAGCATCCCCACACACTGCTGGACAGGACAGGTGGGGATGAGCCCACGTGGCAGAGCCTTCCTCGGAGGCTGCCCGGGCGCTGCTGGGTGGTGTCCTCAGCCTGGTCCTGGTGTCCATCCATCCTTCCTCTGGGCACCCAGCCCTGCAGCAGCTCTCCCACCGTGCACACAACCTGCCCCGACCCTCCCAGCCGGGACCCCGCCTCTGCAGGGCAGGAAGAGAGCACAGCAGGCGCCTGCTCGTAAAATAGACTACATGCTTTATTGGATTTAAAAGTTTTATGAAATGACCCAAAAATAAAATAAAATAAATCGACTTGGCAGAGGCGTCACCACCAGTTCCGCTCCGTGGATCTCCGACCCCCCCCTCCGGGAGCAGCGCCCGGAGCGCAGCGTTGGGCACTGCAGGCACTTAAAGTCATTGAGAGGAAATTTTCACTTATCTCAAAGCAACAGTGTCACTGTCTAACTACCACCTACGAAACGAAAAACACCTTTACAGCCCTTTCCTGTATTGGCAATGTATGTGGATATGTTACTCTGGCACAGAGCACGGCCCCAGAGGCTGCCGGCATCCCCTCACCTCTGCACTCAGTGGGTCTGGGTCGGCCTCGGGGCAGCAGCTGCCCCCCATAGCGGTGCTGTGTGGGGGGCCGGGCAGGGCAGTGAGTGCCAGGGCAGAGATCGGCCCTGAGCAGAGCAGCTCCAGCAGCCTCAGGCACCCGCTGGGCCTCCACTCACCCCATACGCCAACGCTTGTGGGGCACACAGCCCACCCCACAGTGCGGCCATCCATCTGCACTGCCCCCAAACCTGAAGCTGAGCCCAACCCGGCCCTCTCCAGGCAGACACACGGAGCTACGGGCGGCTGCTGTGCCCCAACTCCATCCCCAGTGACCCCAGCTGGGATGCGAGCGGGATAACGCTGCTGGGCGGCGCAGCACTGCGGGGAGGGGGCTCAGAGTGCTCTGCCCAGGAGGGCATCCATCCCCCCAGCCCCCCCCAACCCCCAGCGCCCCGACTGTGCGCAGAGCGGCGGAGGCAGAAGAACCGAAAAAAGAAAAGGTAAAAAATAGAAAAATACAAATAAAACCGCATTGAAACCAAACCCAAATATGCCGTGTGGCCGAGCAGAGGCGGATAACTGGAAGCCATGCACAGCAAAGCCGGGGACTACAGCGACAGGGAGGGGGGGGGGTGAAACAGGGCGGCTGTCGCCTTCGGGGGGAGCAGATGCCTTCTGGCTTCTCAGCCCGGCCAATAAATAAGTTTAAATAGCTCCTCTTGCCGCGGGGACGCGGTTCCCAACGCCCGGGGCCGGGCGCGCTCCCCCGGTGCCAGCGGGTCGCTCCGTGGGGTTCCTCCGCCCTCCTCCTCTATTTCCTGGGCTTCTTGAAGATCTTTAGGGGGAACTTTTTCTTGCTCTGGCCCGGGTCGATCTCGTCGCCCGTCAGGCTGCCGTCCTCATCCCCTGCGCCCTTCTTGGCAGCCAGCTGCGGGATGCGGGTGCTCTTGGAGCTGTTGGGCCGGCAGTCAGAGATGGGGGACGGGGTGTCGGGGTCGGTGGAGCTGGGGCTGTGCGACCGCGAGGAATCCGAGTGGCTGTGCTTGGAGGCCGCCGGGTGGCCGATCTCCCCCAGGCTGGAGGATTTCTCCATGCCGTGGTTCACCATCATCATCTTCTTCATCACCGAGGGGCTCTCGGACGGTCGCTCCGGGCCGGGGGGCTCCGCGTGTCGGCTGCCTCCGTTTGGGGTGTGCCCGGGTCCGGCATCCTCGATGGATCGGGTGAGCAGAGCGGGCCGGGCGGCCAGCAGCTTGGGAGCGGCGCTGGGCAGGCGCTGGGCTTCGCTCAGGTGCGGGATGGACGACTCGGAGTCGCAGCGCGTCAGGTCTCTGCATGGAGAGGACGGACAGACCGTTAGCAGCACCCGGAATGGCACCGCAGCAGAGGGGTGGGAGCTGTGCACACATCTTCCCCTGAGCTCCGTCCTCCCGCACGTCCCGTGGGCACTGGGGGTTCCCAGGATGGGTTCCTAGGATGAGTTCCCAGGATGGGGCCCCGTTGGCCACACGCAGGCACGGCTGGAGCGCAGCCGTGGCACAGAGACCCCCAACCCACGGCAGCGGCCCTGAGCTCAGGAGTGCAGCCCCAGCCCTGCAGTTGGGCCCGAGCCCCCCCGGCCCTCAGCCCAGCCCTGCACCCACGCACCGACCCCGGCCCCATTGGGGGCTGCAGCCCAGCCCGCGCCCCCCGCCCAGCCCCGCAGCCCAGCGGTTTTTGCCCCCGCCCGGTGCCTTTCTCCTGCGGTGCCAAAAGCAATGCAATGCTGCTCTGCTGCCCTGAACGGCTTCTTTTCAAAGTGGGGAAGGGGTCCACAGAGCGGTGGAAGCCTCAGTGCTCTCTCACTGCCCCCACTGCCCCATGTCCTCAATGGGACAGAGCCATGCACTGCTGCCCCACACCCTCTGCCCCTCGGGGCACATCAGGATGAGGTGTCCCCTGGTGTCCCCAATGGACCTGGCAGCACTGTATGAAAGGGTATCGATGGGAGAAGCCACAAACAGATCGCTGGGGGTCACCCAACAGCACTGCGCCAATGAGAGGAAGGCGGGGCAGCCCTCACAGCACTGAGCTCTGCAATGGTAACAAAGGTATTTGGGAACAAAGCCATGGAAAAGAACGTGGATCTGGGGCTGACCACGAGCCCTGGGTAACAGTGGGGTCAGGTTGGGTATGACGGGCTGGGGATGAGGGACAATTTCCTCTTGGAAAGAGCGGCAATGCACCGGCACAGCTACCCAAGGATAGGGGGGGTCACCATCCCTGGGGGTGCTCAGGAGCCATGGGGATGGGGCAGTGAGATGTGGGCACAGCAGGGTGGGCTGGGGATCGTGGGGGTCTTTCCAGCCTTCACGGCTCCATGAAGTTCACCCGAGCATCAACGTCAGCCACTGCAGCCTGCAAGAAGTGAGCTCAGCAGCAACGCCTGCTGCTCTGCACCTCGAAGCGGTAACGGCACCAAAGAGTGTTCTTCTCTTCTAAAGCCAACCCAGGCTCTGTAAGCACCGAGGCTCTGGTGCAAGAGACATCCTTTCAAACGAGAGGGATTCTACAGCAAGAATAGGAGCTGCACACCCTGCAGCATCCACGAGGTGACACAGCACCCACGAGCTGATGCAGAGCCTCTGCTCCTCCTTCCCGAGGGGCCACTGTTAACCCATGAGACAACAGCAGCCACAACATCACAGCCAGCAGATGGGGAACGTCCTCTGGGGCCGCAGGGAGCTCTGCCTCCAACTGCACGCGATGGAAACCTGACCCGGGACAGCTGCTCTGTGCTCACAGCGGGGGTGATGCCGAGGACATGGCAGCGATGTCACCTCAGGGTGTCACCTCGGGGTGTCACCTCCACTGGTGGCACTGAGGGGCCGCTGCTGTGGTTCTACTGCTGTCAGCACTGTGGGATGCCCCCATGATTGGTGGGGTGCGAATCGTGGGCAGGAGGAAGGAGGCTGGCATGGTTCTGGGGTCAGAGCTGTCCATAGGGATGTGAGATCAGGGTTATCCATGGGGATGTGGCACCAAGCACTATCCATAGGGAGTAGCATAAGGGCTGCCTGTGGGGATGTGAGACCTGGGCTGTGCATAAGGAAATGATGCTGAGGCTGTCCGTGGGGATGTGACATCAGGTGGTATCTACAGAGATGTGACACCAAGCATCATCCATGGGGATGTGGCATCCGGGCTGTCTGTGGGGATGTGAGACCAGGGTCATCCATGGAGATGTGATACTAAAAACACCTGTGGGGATTTGACACCAAGCACTATCCATGGGGATGTGGCACCAGGGCTGTCCATAGGGAAGTAAGACCAGGGCCACCTGTGGGGATGTGACACCATGTAGCATCCATGCGGATGTGACAACAGGGCTGTGCGTAGGGAAGTGAGATCAGGATCATCCGTGGGGATGTGACATCAGGGCTGTCCATGGGGATGTGACACCAAGCACTATCCATGGGGATGTGACACCAGGGCCATCTGTGGGGATGTGACACCAGGCAGTAGCCATGGGGATGTGACACTGGTGCTGCCCATGGGGACGTGGCACCAGGCACAAGGAAGAGGGCTGGCACAGAGGACACAGAGCTGGGGCTCAGCCAACAGGGCTGGCACAGTTCCTGCTGCTGCCCATAGATTTTCCACAGGAAATGCTGCCTGCAGCTGTTAGGACAGCGTGCTGCCAGGGCTGGGTGCAGGGCACAGAGCTGGAAAGTGCCATTGAGCATTCCTGGGCTATGGCAAAGCCACCACCTGCTGCCTTTCCTGAACTCAGATCTGAGCACGGAGAGACCCGGGCACCTCTGGAGTCTCCTTTGCGTGCAGCTGGGTGTGCTCACACCGGTGGGCTGGGGCAGATTTAAGCAGCCTGCAGACAGGAGCTGCACACTGCTCTGCTCCATCTGCCCTCCCTGCTCCCATCTGTGCCTCCTCCATCACTGCGCCAGGAATCCAAACCGCCCGCAAGGAATGGGAGCCAGCAGGGAGATGTGGATGCGCTGCATTCGGTGAGCAAAAGAAGCAGAGAGCAAACCATGGCAGAAGGAAGGGCTGGTGGGGATGGAGGAAGAGAGGAGAGGATGGGAGGGCAAGAGAAAAGAAACACGGACCGCTCAGCCCTGCGGTCCACGGGATGAGCTCCTGCAATGGGCTCCTGCTGCAGCGTGTGGGTGCTGTGCTCAGCACTGCTCTGACACAGAGTGAACTGCAGCCCCTCTGCTTTTGCCTCAGCTGCTGCTTCCCCTCCTTGCTGGGGTCTCACAGCCCAACCTCCCCCGTTCCCCACTGCTACCACGGAGAGCCGGCACCGGTGAGCAGAAACCCCTGTGCACAGACAGCCCTATGCACACACAGACAGCCCTGTGCACACGGATATTCCTGTGCAGGCAGCCCTGCAGCCCCTCCAGCCCCACGGTGACACGGACAGACACACATCAGCCTCCCAACTCCCACCAGCTCTGACCTTATTCGCACCGGATCCTCTGAAGCCAATTGCAAAAGAGAAGCAAACAGTGAGCGGTTGCTGGACGGCAGAGCTCCCTGCCGGGGCTCTGGGCAGCCCTCCTCGCCCCCCAGCACAGCCACGTGGGCTGAGCCGACCCTGCAGTCCCAAATCCCTCCTGCCCAGGAGCACTAAGCTGCTACAGATGCAGCTTGTTGATAACATCAAAGCAACAGCTCCACTTCCCCCAGTTCTCCATCACTGCTTTCCATGACAAACAGAGGCAGAGAGTGGATGTAGGGTTCTGCTCCTGCAGAGCTGAGCCAAAGCACAGAACCATAAATGCCTTGGGTTGGAAGGGACCTCGAGGATCATGAAGTTCCAACCCCCCCCTGCTGTGTGCAGGGCTTCCAACCTCCACATTTCATAGCAGCCCAGGGCCCCATCCAACCTGGCCAACCAACCATTCGTGCTCTGCAGGACTACAGTGCTGAACCATCGGGGACAGAGAGCAAGCAGCGAGCAGCAATTAGCTCTGATTAGCTCTGAGCGATGGAGGGGAATGTGAGAAGCCAGCCCTGACTCCCTGCTAATGACCTGTTCTAATTGGGTTCCCTCTGCAGCCCCTCAGCAATGACCTGTGCAGCCATTCAGCAGTGCACAGCAGAGAATCACAGAATCACAGAATTGCCAGGGTTGGAAGGGACCTCAAGGATCATGAATCTCCAACCCCCCTGCCACGTGCAGGGCCACCAACCATCCCACCTAATGCTAGACCAGACTGCCCAGGGCCCCATCCAATCTGGCTTTGAACACCTCCAGGGACGGGGCAAAAGAGAGCACAGAGCACAGCACTCAGCTGTTTGCTGTTTGCAGAGCCAGGTTAGGGCAGCTGGGAGCAATCCCAGAGCCAGGACAGCCTCCACAGGACCCAAATTGGCAGTAATTAATTAAGTGGCATTTTAATTACGCTGCTTCTCCTAATCCCCAAACAAACACTGCCCAGCAAACCACGATGCTGCTTTTGGACCTGGTGCTGTGGTTTCCTGCAGCAAAACTGGTGCCTCCCTGTGTCCCCCATTGAGAGCTACAGCCTAGGGCTCAGCGCCTGCTAATGTGCAGCACCCCATAGAGCAGCACCCTGTGCCCACAGCACCCCATGCTGCACCACGATGCCAGGCCCTGCAGTGCGCTGCACAGATGGAGGTGGGTGATTTGGGATGGCTGCCTATCAGGGCAGGTCAATGGGAGCAGCACAGCCCCCCAGGACCTCCCCAGCCTGCTCCTACCAGCTCCTTTCCCGAGGCCCAGCACGGAACAAGGCAATGCAGCACAGCCATGGGGCAGCTCCAGGACCACTGCAGCCCCCCAAACCTGGGGGCCTCACTGCAGCTCCCAACAGACGCAGGGTGCCCAGCAGGGTGACACAGGTCCTCCTGCTGCCTGTGAGCATCCCCTGCTCTGCCCCAATGCAGGATGCTGCCCAGCACAGCTGTACCCACACACAGCTCTGTGCAGGAGAGGATGCGGGGTGACAATGGCTGCTGTGGGGGCAGAGGGCCCCAAAAATCCCCCAGTCCTCATCTGAGAGGCACTGCACAGCAGCCTGAGATCTGGGCACATGGAGCTCTGCCTCATAGCATCACAGAATGGTTTGGGTTGAAGGGACCTCAAGGATCATGAAGCTCCAACCCCCCACCACAGGCAGGGCCACCAACCTCCACATTTCACAGCAGCCCAGGCTGCCCAGGGCCCCATCCAACCTGGCCTTGAACACCTCCAGGGATGGACGGGGCATCCACAGCCTCTGGGCAGCTGTTCCAGCACCTCACCACTCTCACAGCAAACAACTTCCCCCTGACATCCAACCTCAATCTGCCCTCCTTCAACTCCAAACCATTTCCCCTTGCCTTGCACTGCTGCTCAGAGGTCCCTCAGCTGGAAGCACAACGCAGTGGATCTCCAGGTCCTGTCAGCACTGAGCTCACAGCGCCCAGCAGCTCCAATGTGAGCTCGCAGCACGCACCCATCTTGTGCCCTTTGCAAGCCCCCAGATGCACAAAGGCTTCCTGCAAGGTCAGTGTTTGCACAGTGGGTTGCATCCCCTCATCTGCAGCCCCCAGCCATGGTCTGAGTGCCCCAGAGCCAACCCAACACCCCTGGGTTTACCCTCATGGGGATGGGAACGGACAGCGGAGCGCTCCCTGGGACTCCTGAGAATCCTGAGGGGGAAGGGGGGGAGGAAACACAGCTATGGGTAAACCATGAAGCAGAGACCCCAGAGGAAAGCGGGGAGGGATGGAGGAGAGAAAGCAGCCCTGCAAGCAGCAGCCCTGGGACACAGCAGGAGGGAAGGAGCGAGAAAAGAAACGGCATATACCCAAAGCTCTCAGTGCCACAGCGAGCTCCAGAGGTGACATCAGGAGGGGGCAGATCGGGGTTGGAGTCCATCTGAAGGAAATAAGAGGTGGTGTGATGGTGATAGAGAGGGTGGACATGGGAAGCAGGTGCAGGAGTGGCGGATGAGGAGCAAGAGGTGGCTGTGGTGGATGACGGAGCGGTGCCAGGAAGGTCAGAACTGAAAGACTGTCCGGAGGAGAGGCTGTGCATTCGACGGAGGGACATTCGGCCCGCCGGGTGCTGGGCAGGCTGGCCCGGCTCATGCTGGCTGTGCACGTAACTCTCTACCAACCTCTGAGATCCGTGGCCGTGCTGGGGGTCCACCAGGCGCTGGCGAACGGTGCTGGGCAAAGCAGGAGCTGCAAGGAGAGAAGGGAGAGGGCTGAATGCTCTGAGATGTGACCCCGACCACAGCAATGCTTCCAGACGTGAGCCCGACCACAGCACTGCTTTGGAGCAGATGTGACGTGGACCACAGCGATGCTTTGGAGCAGAAGCGTTAGGTTGGTGCTGCTGCTTCACATGCCACGTTAATGGTTGGTTGGTGAGAAGCTGTGCCCAACATTCCCAATGCAGCTGCTTTCTGAACACCTTATCTGACCGTCCTGCTTGCAGCTGTGTGCCTCACCCTGCCCAGCCCCACCTGGCTGCTCCCTGCTGGGCTCCTCTGCAGCACATCAGCACATTTGGGGTACACTGGTTCCCCCAGCACAGGCACTGACCCACCCCATACCCCATGGCTGGGCTGTCCCATTCCTCTGCAGCCTGGGGGTCAGCCCAGGGATGCTCAGCTCTGTGCCCTCTGTGGCAGACACGTGGGAACTGGGTACTAATCACAGCATCACAGAATGGGTTGGGTTGGAAGGGACCTCAAGGATCACGAAGCTCCAACCCCCCTGTTGGAGCCACCAACCTCCACACTTAATGCCAGCCCAGGCTGCCCACAGCCCCATCCAACCTGGCCTTGAACACCTCCAGGGATGGAGCAATGGGGCCTATGTTAGGTGCCATCACAGCTGGAATTACAGGGCTGGCCCTGAAGAGGATGGATATCACAGGGCTGGTCCCAAAGGGCACAGAGCTCAGTCCATCAGCTGTGCCCCAAGCCCTGTGCTGCAGATTTTGGAGCAGAGCTGCTTCCATGCAGTCCATTCTCTGTCACATCCACACGAGGTGCTCCCCTTCTGCAGGAGATAAGGTGTTCAGGATTACATACACAGCATGAGGAGTAAATGTGCAATTGGTTACGGAGGTGAACACAGAGGAAAGCTCAAAAGTGAGGCAGAAGGAGAGCTCTTTTGGGAATCGAAGAACCAGCACATCACTGCCTTAACATCCCTCAGGGACATCAGATCCTCCTGCTGCTCTGCTGGCAGCAATGCAGGATCCCTGCAGGGACACCTCGAGTGGGAGAAGGAACAGCAAGCATCACTCAGGCAGCTTTATTTTCACATTGGTGGTCTTCTCCAGTGTGATTCCATGGGTGTCTGCTCATCCTGGAATACATCTTTTCCCCATGAGGTCTCTCCTGCTGTTATCCCCACTTACCAGCTTGGCACTCTACAGCTCTGTGCTCTCCTTTCCCTTGCGATGAGCCTGAGACCAAAAGCTGAGCCCTGCCCTCCCCTGCTGCAGCACAGCCTCACATCATAGAATGACAGAATGGCCTGGGTTGCAAAGGAGCACAGTGCTCATCCAGTTCCAACCCCCTGCTGTGTGCAGGTCACCAACCAGCAGCCCAGGCTGCCCAGAGCCACATCCAGCCTGCCTACAGGGATGGGGCATCCACAACATCCCCAGTCCTACAGCAGACAATCATCCTGCTCACAGCCTTCAGCCCCAGGATCAGAGCCTGGGGACAGACTGGCACAGCACACAGCACTGCTCAGCATATTTCATTACACACAGCTCTGGGGACTGGGAGGGAAGATCCCCTCAGCCACCCACAGCAACACTCCGACTGCCCAGCAGCAGCCCAATGGGGTTTTGCTTTCTAAACCCAAACCTCCCAGCATGCAGCCAGCTGTGGTTCTTCCTCATCCCACCAGGCTCCTCCCTGGTGTTAGTGAGGGTGACTCCATGTACAGAGGTACATCTGTTAGTTGTTCCGTGCCAGAAAGTTGGAAAATCTGTGTATGTATTTTTAGTCCAGAAAAAGGGCAGAGAATAGAACAAAATAACGTGGATATAATTAAAAAGAACCAAACCAGGGTATTTCCACAGGGACTGATCCTCCGAGGACAGAGATGAGCGATCGCTGAACCTGCGCCCAAAGAGCCAGGCTGCGTCTGGGGGAGGTGGGGGGGGAGAGAAAGAAGTGACTGTGGGGAGCAGCAGCCCTGAGCATCCTCCTGCTGCTGCCTAATCACAGAACCATAGAACCATGGGATGGCCGGGGTTGCAAAGGAGCACAGTGCTCATCCAGTTCCAACCCCCTGCTGTGTGCAGGTCACCAACCAGCAGACCAGGCTGACCAGAGCCGATTCCAGCCTGGCCTTGGATGCCTGCAGGGATGGGGCATCCACAGCCTCCTTGGGCAACCTGTTCCAGTGCCTCACCACCCTCTGGCTGAAAGACTTCCTCCTAAAACACACATGCCCAATGCTCCATGCCCTGCACCTGTTGATCCCATGGAGTGCCCACAGCCCATCCCTCCTGCAGCCTGCCCAGCTGCTGCACATCTCTCTTCACCTCTGGGTGCTCTGTGCTGCTGCCCTGCTCCAAACCTCTGCTCCCTCCCTGTCCCTGAGCAGGGCTGAACCCAGAGGAGGGAAGATTACAGAATCACAGCATGGTTTGGGTTGGAAGGGACCTCAAGGATCATGAAGCTCCAACCCCCCACCACATGCAGGGCCACCAACCTCCACATTTCAGAGCAGCCCAGGCTGCCCAGGGCCCCATCCAACCTGGCCTTGAACACCTCCAGGGATGGACGGGGCATCCACAGCCTCTCTGGGCAGCTGTTCCAGCACCTCACCACTCTCACAGCAAACAACTTCCCCCTCACATCCAACTGAAATCTGCCCTCCCTCAACTTCCAACCATTTCCCCTTGTCCTGCTGTTATCTCCCCTTTCCAAGAGTTGATGGCACCAACAGGACAGCACAGGGCTCCTCTGCTCCTCCTCCCAGCTCCTGCCACTTACAGACCCAGCACTGAGGAGGACCTGACCAGCAAATCACCTGTAGAAGGCAAACTAGGAAGCTTGCCGCATCCAGTGCTGTCAGCACGGGCTGCTCTGCTCCCAGCACTGCTCCTGCCAAGGCTTCCCTCCTCTCACACACCTACAGATAGGAAGCTGCAGGTGGACGCTGGGAGAGGCGAGGCCACGTGTGAGCGTGGGTGCTGCAGCCAGGGCTGATTCACAAAGTTCTCCCATACAAAGAGATGCAAGCCAACATCTCAGCAACCCGGAGCGAGAGGCACGCGGTGCCCCAGCTCTGCCTTTCCTCCAAGGATGTGAGCAGTGCCACCCCGAGCTCCCACCCACCCCCCTCCCATCCTTAAACACCAACGCAGCCCCCCTCAGCTCCCCCAGCATCAATCCTACAGTTCCCTTCTACGCTTCCCCTCCACCCCGTGAACCGACGCGGCGCTGCCCCACGGCTGCATACATTGCATGGACATGGGAGACACGATCTCCTCATCCAGGTCGTCCACGTCGTCGGTCATGATGAAGTGGGACGGGTTGGGCCTTGGGGTGCCCATCCAACCCGGGTCGATGTTGAGGGCGGATGCCAAGGTGTGGATGCCGGGGTTGTTGACGATCTGGAAGCCGCAGAGCAGCTCGATCTGCTGCCAGCGATGCAGGCGCTCACGCAGCGCCGCTGTCACCTCGCTCAGTGCTTGCCTGCAAGCAGAGCAGGACGGCTTGAAGGTGAGGCACAACCCCAACCCAAGCTGTTTTATAACGCTATGAAAGGCTGCTTCTGTGGGACTCGGGGCTCCGTGTGGGTTTGGTTTGGTCTCACACACACAGAGGGCGTTGGTGGATGGGAGCGGGTCCAGCCATCAGCACTGAGAGCACAGCAGGGCTGGGGAGGAATCATGGAATCACAGAATGGCCTGGGTTGCAAAGGAGCGCAATGCTCATCCAGTCCCAACCCCCTGCTGTGTGCAGGTCGCCAACCAGCAGCCCAGGCTGCCCAGAGCCACATCCAGCCTGGCCTTGGATGCCTGCAGGGATGGGGCATCCACAGCCTCCTTGGGCAACCTGTTCCACTGCCTCACCACCCTCTGGCTCAAAAACCTCCTCCTCATATCCAACCTAAACCTCCCCTGTCTCACTTTAAAGCCATTCCCCCTTGTCCCATCACCATCCACCCTCACAAACAGCTGTTCCCCCTCCTGTTTATCCGCTCCCTTCAAGCACTGAAGGCCACAATGAGGTCTCCCTGCAGCCTTCTCTTCTCCAAGCTCAACAAGCCCAGTTCCCTCAACCTTTCCTCACAGGAGAAGCAGGGACTGGAGGACTTGAGGAGACACTCACTTTGCAGTTAAGATTTTATGATCCACATCATCTAGAGACGAGCTGTGAGCAACATGAAATGTTCCAAACAGAGTGTTGCGCTTCTTCTTAATTTTTTCAGCCTGGAATGTTAACAGAAAGAAGGAAAGGTCAGGGGAAGAAAAGGACCTCGTGCTTCCTCCTGGACAAGAACATCCTGGAGGGGCTGTGACAGAAATAGCCCTGCAGCTGCTGGCACACGTGTGAATGGTGTGAGATGCGTTGGACAGGAGGGTGACCCCCATGGGGTGAGCAGGGTGATGCTGCTCTGCACCCCCAGCCCTATGGCACCCCAGAAGTCAGAGGGACCCAAACTGCTCCATGCAGAGAAGGGCTCTCCCAGAGCCTGCCCTGGCCTTTCTAAGGATAGAACTATCACACGTCACATCCATGATAACAGTGCATTAGGGCAGATGGACTCCTGTGAGCTGTGAGTTCTGGCTTCTGCACACATCCACAGCGATGAATGCATGTTACAGCAGCTCCCCTGCAGCTCTCAGCTCCACGGCTGGCACAGAAAGCTTGGAACAATTGGGAATACAAAGAGGGTGATTCACTGCTACAGTTCATGTGCTCATAAGAAACGGTGCTGCCTGTGCATGTAGGACAGCCAGAGCAGGGTCTGTGCACATGATACGAAGACACAGAACACACTGTGCAGCTTCCATCCCCAAACCTCCCCCCAGGCAGCGATGGGAGGACCTCAGAGCAGGATGCTGAGATGCTCACCCCTTCCTTGGCCACCAGGAGCTGCTTTTCGGCGTTCTGCTTCTTGATGTTGTAGTACTGCACCTCCACCTCGTGGGTCAGCTGCAGCCACTTCTGCAGGGCCTCGGGGGCAGCCCAGCTGCAGTGCGATTCCAGCTCCTTCTCGGCGTTCTTCAGAGCCATTCGGACCTGAGGAGAGGCAGCAGTGCTGTGTTATGGGGAAGGGAATGGCTGCTGTGCTGCACCAATGGAATGGGGGCAATGGGGTTGGGGCAAACAGGAGCCAGTGCTGGTCCAACACTTGGCTCACACCGACCCCACGCAGTGCCCAAGGAGGCTGTGGATGCCCCATCCCTGCAGGCATCCAAGGCCAGGCTGGATGTGGCTCTGGGCAGCCTGGGCTGCTGGTTGGTGACCTGCACACAGCAGGGGTTGGAACTGGGTGAGCATTGTGCTCCTTTGCAACCCAGGCCATTTTATGATACTTGCTGCCTGTTGCCTGCTGTGTGCTGCCTACTATGTGCTATGTGCTGTGTGCATCACATCCATAACAGGGAATGAACCCAAACAGGGGTTGTATGGTGTATACTCCCCTGTGATGACCTCTAAGGTCCCATTCTGACCACTCAGTGGCAGCTCATAAAGCAGTGAGTGCCTTCTGACCCTGTGCTGTGTGGTCACCCCTTGGGCACAGTAAGACCCACCGAGGACAGATTTGCTGCAAGCAGCCCAGCCCCAAACACTGAGCTCTCAGCACCATTTGCTGTGCTCCAGCAGGAGCTCCCGACCCCACAGAACCATTTTAGTGGTAAGAACCAACGGGTGCAAAAGAAACTCTTGGTTTAATATCCACAGCACCAAACAACCAGACGAGTTCTGTGGTCAGTGGGAGTGATGGGTTACTGTGTGTGGGGGACACTGGGATGGTGGCTGTGTTACAGGCACACGGTGGGGGCAGGAGGACGATGCCAGTACTCACCCTTTGGAGGCATCCCTCATCAAGGCCTCTGAGAAACAACAGAGAGGTTAAGTCACCTCTGGCTGGCAGCTTTCCTGAGGGCAGAGTGGTGGAATGGATGGGTGCCCTCGACTTGGCAGCAGGTGGGGCAGGAAGGCTTGGAGAGCTGTGCACCCCATAGAACGGCCCCAGCACTGCTGTGCAGGTGGGCACAGACACCCACGGGCTCTGGAATGGAGCTCAGTGCATTTGTGGAGAGGTTGTGTGACAAACTGGGATCTTGGATGGGGCCTGAGGGCGTCAGAACTGCTCCCACTCCAACCAAGAGGAGGAAGGAATCTCGCAGCACGGCTCCCTGCTGGCCGGGCACTGACCTCTCCCCATCCAGTGCAATGCTGGGCTCTGCTTTCCTCTCCTTCCTCCTCCCAGGTGGAATGGATGGGACACACATGGGTTGGGGCACACAAACACCTCATGGCAGTCGTGGGGCACACAGTGCTGCCTCACACTATTTCTATTGGAACTGACCTGTGGCCACATCAGCTCACATCACAACTTTCCCCTGGGTGAAATGGAGGGGCAGCTGGATTTGTGCTTTGGGCTTTAAAGCTTTGCAGGTATGGGCACCAGGTGGTTCTGAGGCACAGCTCCCACACCTCCCTTTGCTCTCTGTTGCTGAGCCACCATCAGCAATGCTGTTTATTTCCATCTCTTCCCTCCAGCCCTTGCTGGGGCTCCCTGGGCTTTTAGATGTCACAGTGGAAGCCCTTTTTCTGACCTGTGATGCATTATTCAAACAGTGCCACACAAATGCATCACTTGCACATCACTGCTGCCAGCATCACACACAAAACTCTCCCCAGGTCTACATTTCCAGATTCATTTGGAAGGAAGCTTTCCTCAGACATTTCTGGAGCCAACAGCAGAACAACAAAGCTGCCCCAAATCTCTCTTAAACCCACAAATGGAAAAGAGAGAAATCTGAGGGCTGGTGCTTTGGAGGGGGATGGTGGGGTGCAGCTGCAGGCCAGGCAGCACTCCTGCCCCGTGGGGCAGCCCCACAGCCACCACCTCTCCCCAGTCACTGCAGGGATGTGATGGAAGGGCCAGGTGATGCCAGTGGCTCTGAGCACTGATGGAGCTGTGCCCACTGCAGGGAGTGGCACCAGCTCCAGTATTGGTCTGGTATGAAATGTGGAGGTTGGTGGCCCTGCGTGTAGCAGGGGGGTTGGAGATTCATGATCTTTGAGGTCCCTTCCAACCCTGGCCATTCTGTGATTCTGGAGGCCCCCAGGGGTCCCTTCCAGCTCAAACCATTCTGTGATTCTCTGATCTTTTCCTCCACAAAGTGGGAAGGCAAAGGCAGAAAGGCATTACGAGCAGCACGGCACTGGGCTTAACGGAGGGCAGGCTCAGTGCTGGCTGCGTGCTGCTCCTATGGCACGCCACGTGTGTGTGTTTGTGCACCACGGGCCACCCCTCACCTGCTCCAGCTCCTGCTCTGCATACTTCTGCCTGCTCAGCTCATTCTCAGTGCCCTCCCGCAGCTCTCGCAGCCGATGCGCCTCCTGCTTGGCGATGCTGATCTCATCCTGCAGCTTCTTCTCCAGGTGCACCTTTTCCACCTCCACGGAGCGATGCTCTTCCTGGGCCTTCTGCAGCCTGCAGGACAGGGAGATGGGAGCCGTGAGGAGCAGGGGGTGCTGTGCATAGGAGCCCATGGTGGCCGCCCCATCGGCCCCGCTCCTGTTCACACTGTGCCAGCAGCCATCACAGCTGGAAGGCTGAGAAAGCTCACTGTGCTGGAAGGAAATGGTCACAGATGGACCCACCTTAGCCGTAGCTGCTCCTGCCCGTCACACCCCCATGGGCACAGACAAAAGGGAAAAACGATCCTCAGCCACAACCTGGCTCTGTGCAGCACGCAAGGGCTGTTCTGCAGCCCTGCAGCAAACGCTGAGCTTGTAGCGTGCGCAGCCCAGGGATGTGTGCAGCACACGAGCAGAGCAGGGAGAATGGATGCACTGAGCACAGAGCAGAGCACACAGCAAGGATGCAAGGAGCAAGAGTAGAGCTCAGCGCAGAGCACAGAGCAGAGCACTGAGCAAGGATGCACTGAGTACAGAGTGGACCACATATCAAGGATGCACAGAAGCTGTGAACCGAGCACAGAGCAGGGATGCACGGAGCACAGAGCAGAGCACAGAGCAAGGATGCACTGAGCCCACGAGCAAAGCACAAAACAGGGATGCACAGAGCAGAGCGCAGAGCAAGGATGCACTGAGCCCATGAGCAGAACACAAAACAGGGATGCACAGAGCAGAGCACAAAACAAAGATGCACAGAAGCAAGAGCACAGAGCAAGGATGCACAGAGCCCATGAGCAGGGCACAGAACAAGGATGCAGACCCAAGAGCCCTTGCTCTGCAGGCTCATCCTTGGCACCCAGACAGCAATCGACAACAAATCTGGCCTCTCAGCAGCCATGATGTTGGCTCTCTTCTTGGAAAAGGTTTATTTTCAATTTACAGCTCTGTTGAGAAACTCCAGTGTTTTTCTTCCCAATTAACAAGAGGTTTTTGCCAAGGCGTTCCAAGCTTTCAGATAAACCCACGCTCTCTGCCCTGAGCTCATTGCTGAAGCTCTCCCACAGTAGGGCCATAAGAATTCCAAACCACCCAAATATCTCTATTTAAAGGAGAATTTTCCCCATGCTATGATGCAGAATTCCTTCCATAGGAGTTTTATCCTCAAGGCAATTTCCAAGCGTGCACTACCATTGCATTTTCCCTTCCCACTGGCTTTTGCTCACAGCAGAGCTGTGCTTTCTGATGCTGGCAGTGGACAAAGCCACCCTCTGAGCCCTTTGCATGCGGTGAGCTCCAGGATGGAGTGCAGCACTGCAATTGTGCCATGGGCACGAATGGACCTACAGCTCAGCAGCACATCCCCAGAGAGATGTGCTCTGATGTGAACTTATCTGCATGATGGGCCACTCGGGGGACTGGGAAGCATCAGTGCTAATGGATGTTCCCAAAAGATGAGCCACAAACGGCTCTCAGTGTCTGTGTTCCCCTCTCCAATCTCCAGGAACACAGCAGAGACAGGAATAGCAGCAGCAGCAGCAGATGGGGCCGTCCTGCAGATGTGCTCAGCACTGAACTTCCATCAGTGGGGACAGCATGGTTTGAGGTCCAGAAAGGAGTTCCTAGAAAGCAAATTGTTGAGCAGAACTGCCTCACTGCTGCCCAGGCCCATGGGGACCTGACCTGAGAGCTGGGATGAGAGGAACCTGAGGGTGTCCAACGTGGCCAAGTGTAGGATCCTACAGCTGGGGAGGAACAACCACGGCAGCAGTACAGTCGGGGCTGAGCTGCCGCAGAGGGGCTCTGCAGAGAAGGACCTGGGAGTCCTGGTGGCCAGAAGGTGGCCATGAGTCAGCAGTGTGCCCTGTAGCCAAAAAGGCCAGTGAGACCTGGGGCGCATTGCACGGAGTGTGGCCAGCAGGGCGAGGGAGGTTCTTCCAACCCCTCCAACCCCTGCACCTCTGTGATTCTGCGCTTAGGTTGGTGCCTCCTCACCTGGTTCTGAGCTCAGGTTAAGCTCCCCAAGCCCATCTGCTGCTTTCCAGGTGCCCCCCAGCACAGCCCTGCCCATCCCCTGTCCTGCACGGTGCCAGGGATGAGCACTGCTGCAAACGGCGGCTGCAGGAGCTGCACACCCAGAGGTTCCCTGGTTCTCCAGGTTATGTCCTGCCTGTGATGGAGAACTCCACAGAGCTGTGTGAAATGAGCTGTGGATTACAGCCCGCTCCCTTGGCAGGCAGACAGGAAAACCCTTCAAGTCAAAAAGAAAGCAGGTCACACATCTGCAATGCTGACGTGGATGTGCTGCGCTGGGCACCGGCAGCCCGGTACACTTCTAAGTCCCTCTCATCATGCAGATACCAACTGATGTGATCACAGAAAGGCTTTCCATGCACGGATGGCTCCCAAGGGGCTGCCAGGCAGGGCAGCAGCCTTCCCAGATGACAACAAGCCAACTGGGTTACTTCCCATCCCATAAGAGGCTCTGTTTTCCAGAGAGGTACAGATCTGCGTTACAGTTCTGTGTGTTTGGGGGAAGCCACAGAATAATAGAATGATAGAATGGCCTGGGTTGAAAAGGACCACAATGAGCATCTAGCTTCAGCCCCCCTGCTGTGTGCAGGGTCGCACAGACCAGGCAGCTCAGGGTACCCACACTGCACCGAGGGGAGAGCTGCAAAGCGAATGAGGTGGGAGATCCCAATGAGGAACAACCAGCAGCAAAGCCAGCAGCCGATGGGGGCCACACAGCTCTTACCTCTCCTGCAGGTCGTGGAGGGACTGCTCAGCCCTGTGAAGGCCCTCCAGGTCCTTCATCATCTTCTTCATGTGCTCCTTGGAGTAGCGGTTCTGGATGTAGGCAAACCAGCAGCCGCCCACCCCGATGACGATGGACACCACTAGCATGAAGTCCTTCAGGTGGTTGTGTCGTGTCACTGCCAGGGAAGGAAAGGCTGCTGAGAGCACAGCGTGGGAAGGTCGTTTGTTTGCCTGGGGGTGGGCTTTGAGCTGGGACATTTATCATAATGTCACCATCCCCCCTATAGCAGTGTGCTTTGGAGCTGGAGCTCAGGAGCGGTGCTGTGCAGGGAGAGCAGCTCTCCTCCTTGGTCAGCACTGCAGAGGGGCCTCCTGGTGCAGGGCAGCAGCACAGCCACCATCTGCTCCCAGATTTCATAGTCACAGAATGGTCTGAGTTGCAAAGGCCCACAGTGCTCACCTGGTTCCAACCCCCTGCTGTGTGCAGGGTCACCAACCAGCAGACCAGGCTGCCCAGAGCCACATCCAGCCTGGCCTTGAATGCCTGCAGGGATGGGGCATCCACAGCCTCCTTGGGCAACCTGTTCCACTGCCTCACCACCCTCTGGGTAAAAACTTCCTCCTCATATCCAACCTAAACCTCCCCTGTCTCACTTTAAAGCCATTCCCCCTTGTCCTATCACCATCCACCCTCACAAACAGCCGTTCCCCCTCCTGTTTATCCGTTCCCTTCAAGTCCTGAAGGCCACAATGAGGTCTCCCTGCAGCCTTCTCTTCTCCAAGCTCAACAATCCCAGTTCCCTCAACCTTTTGTCATAGGAGGGCTGCTCCAGCCCTCTGCTCATCGATTTTCCCTGCACCCTCTGCTCCTGTGCACTGTTTGCATTGGGGCAGCACAGTGCAGAGCCCAGCAGTGCAGAACTGGCCCAGGTCTGGAGCAAGCTCTGAGCCAGATCTCCATTTATCTCTATTTCTGCTCCATCTGTGCTTATTTTAATGTGGACCAAAGAGCCTTTCAGGGCCTCGAGTTCATCTCTGCTTCCTTAAAACGCAAGCTTTTTTTGGGAGGGGAAAGAAAAACAAAAACAAACAAACCATAAAATATCCTCCCTCCAAATGACTGAGCAAGCACAGGGCTTTCACTTCCCCTCCTTTCCATTTGTGAGCACTTAAGGCTTTCAGAGCACACAGCAGCAGCTTGGCACAGCATGAGGGGGTGCTGGTGTGCATCCCTACCTCATGTGCAGTGGGACAGAGGGGCACAGAAGGGCAGAGCTGTGCTTTCAGTGGGGAGGATGGCCGCCACAGCAGTCTGCTCCCACCATGGAATGGATCTGTTCCTCCATCCCCAGTGCAAGCCCTGCTGCTCTCTGCAGTGCTGGGAGGAACCCATGGGTGTAAAGGACACGAGAGTTCATCCTCTCAGCTCCTGAGAGCAGCTGCTGAGCAGTAAGCAGCAGCACCTTCAGTCCTAAAGAAATGCCTTGTCATTTGGAGCTGGGAGGCACCAACAGTATTTATAGCCCCCGAAATCCCAGGGGAGGGAGGAACAATTCCTCCTCCAAGGAGCAGCACAGCTGCACGTGGAGGGGGGTCACCACCCCTGGGGTTGTCCCAGAGCTGCGGGGATGTGGGGTTTTGGGGACCCTGGAGGGCTTTTCCAGCTTTTGAGGTGATTCCATGATTGTATGAAATCCCTGTATGCCCCAGTGAGAGCCAGCACCAGCACACATGGCATTCACTGACACTGACACCACTGCCAGGAAAGCCCACTTCAGCTCAAGGCTCAGCAGCACAGCTATGTGCAGCCCCAGCTCCAGGTCTGTCACCATGCACAGCTCTGCACTCTGATAAATCCCTGCCATCTCTACGGAGCTGAAGCAGAAAAGCCCTAAGATGAGAATCCAGACTAATTCCTGTCTGTGCTGCTCAAAATGAGGCCACGATCCCATGAAAGTAGCTTCAAAATGCAGATGGAAAAGCGGATGCTTAACAGCAACAAGCACAGTAAATCTGCTGTTAGGACAGCAAGCCTTGTGTTTGACCTTGGCTCTCTGATGCAGTTCTCTTCTAAGCCAACAACAACTGCCATGTGCCGTAAGTGGGAAAAGATGAGGCTGTTAAAGGCTGGCGTCCCCCCAGCAGCACATGACACAGCCCTGCTCCCATCCCATCCCTGCATCCCAATTACAGGGACTTCATTACCAGTGACATCCTCTGCCCTCGCTGCGCTGTGTCCAAGGGCTGCAGCCTGACCCTGCGTGCTGCCATTGCCTCTCCCACGGCCCTGCCTGCTCCTGCTTCCATCCCTGCCTGCTCCCAGCCCTGCGTGCTTCTGGTCCTGCTCCCATCCCTGCTCCCATCCTTGCCTGCTCTCATTCCTGCTTGATCCTGGTCCTGCTCCCAGCCCTGCTTCCATCCCTGCCTGCTTCTGGTCCTGCTCCCATCCTTGCTTCCATCCTTGCCTTGCTCCCATCCCTGCTCCTGGTCCTGCTTCCATCCCTGCCTGCTCCCATCCCTGCTTCCATCCCTGCCTGCTCCTGGTCCTGCTCCCATCCCTGTTTCCAGCCCTGCTCCTGGTCCTGCTTCTATCCCTGCCTGCTCCCATCCCTGCTCCCATCCCTGCTCCTGGTCCTGCCTACTCCCAGCCCTGCTCCCTGCAGCCATCCCTCCCATACATTTGGTGCACAGCAATGGAAAAACACAGCAAAGCAGCAGGATTCCACAGTGCTGCAGGCAGACACATGGCATCCCATCTGCCAGGTGCTGCAGCTCCTGGAACATGTGGGTACCCCAATGGGCTCCCCTGTGTGAGCCCCCCATGAGCCACCAGAAAGCAGTGCCTGCAAGCAGCCACGTTCCCAACCTGAGTCATAGAATCACAGAATGGTTTGGGTTGGAAGGGACCTCAAGGATGATGAAGCTCCAACCCCCCCACCAAATGCAGGGCCACCAACCTCCACATTTCACAGCAGCCCAGGCTGCCCAGGGCCCCATCCAACCTGGCCTTGAACACCTCCAGGGATGGACGGAGCATCCACAGCCTCTCTGGGCAGCTGTTCCAGCACCTCGAGGCACCTTTGCCTGTGATACACCCCTCTCCCAACTCAGCTTGCCTCTCTAGAAGATAAGGAACCATCACCTCTCATCCATCAGAGACACATTAACAGAGGCTCAGCAGAAACTGGCTCAATAAAAAGCACCACTTAGCAACGCTGACACGGCTTACAAAGATGTGCATCATCTCCTTTAGGGTAACGATGCTGTTTTGCTTGTTTGTTTTCAATAAGAGTGACCTTTACCTCCGGGACTGGATCGTTACTATATGGCTGAGAAACAACCAGTGCCAGCTGTCACTGTCAGCACTCTGCCCTGCCAGCAATGGGCTGCATGCTGCCAGCACACACGCGGTTCATCCATCCCCACGGGTGCACGGGAGGAGGGAAATCACAGCCCTGCTGTTCTACTCTACCCCAGCTGGGGGGACAGCAGCGCATCCCACGCATCCCACACCTCCCCCTGCCCTGCAGCAGCAGCACAGAGGCCATGGCCCAAAGCATCCCCTGCACAGCACCCAGTGCAGCACGGTGGAGCAGCTCCGCCTCTCTCTGCAACGCTCCCTTACAAATTCAACACTAACAAAAGAACCAAGATCTTGGCCTTGGCCCCACTTCCCGTTCCGGATGGATTATCACAACATCCTCTTCCCAAGGAGCAGCTCCTGGCACTCTGCTGCACATCCATCATTTCCAGTCCCTCGGATCCATGTTTGCAGGTCGGTGTCCAGCACCAGCAGCGCCCTGCAGACAGGTCCTGCCCTGCCAGCAGGAGGGGTGGGCAGACAGGCTGAGCCCCCCGAGGTGTAACCACAGCCTCACTGCTTCCATAAGGATCAAACCTCCACTGCTGGGAAGAACAGCAATCGCTGCAGCTCCATGGGATGGAGCTGAGCAACACACAGCAATGGGCGCTGTGCAGTGCCACGCGGAGCCCAGGCAGTGCTGCAGCTGTTACATCTTACACTAAAATGCAGCCTCTGTCACCAACTGCAATGCCTTTCCCACAAAAGGAGCTCTCTGTGCTATTAAATGAGCAGCAAAGTTAATTTGTCATTGTTGGAGCGAATGGATTTCGGCCCGTCCCCCTGCAGCACCCATTGTGCAGTGCAGAGCATCACCCCCTGCTGCCAACCAGCCCAAAGCAAGCAGCCCACCCATGCTCCCAGATTGCCAACAGAACTGTGCATGAATGAGCACGGCGTCAAAAAGACCTCAGCTGCATTTCAGTGGAAACCAGGAGGGGCTCTGGGGGGCCTGAGAACAACATCTGAAGTGCTGGGAAGGGACCTCCAGAGCCCCACAGCACAAACCCTGGAGCAGTTCCCTACAGCAGCTGCAGCACAGCCCTGTGGCACAGCTGCATTAACAAGGCCAGGTGCAGACATGGGAAAAGAAGCTCAAGGCACAGCTCTGGGATGGGCACAGCTGTGGGATGGCACAGCTGTGGGATGGGCACAGGTAACTCATTCAGTTTGGTCCCACATCCCAAAAATTGTCTTCTAGGAACCTTGCAGAAAGCCACGAAGGATTGATGCAGGCGGTGCAGCCGTGCACTGCTCAGTTCTGCACAGCTCTGTACTGCTGTGTGCACAATTGCAGCTCGTGGTTCGTGCCAGGACGACTGCCCAGCAGCTCCTCAAACACAGAGAATAACCATTAATCCAAAGCCATTAAAAGCAATTTACTTTGCCATTACAGCGCCTGTGTGGCTGCCAACCAAATTCCTCCTTGGTGCTGGGCATGCCAGCAGGAAGTGGGACAGCTTTAACCACAGGGTCCTGATAAAGCCAGGCCTCAGATACCTCCCCAAAGCACCGGTCTTAATGAGGACAACGTGCATAAGCAGGAGAGACTCATAATAATGAGACTGCAGCTGTGAGTCATGTGCAATGCATGCAAAGGAGCGCCCCGAGCTGCAGAGATAATCAGAGGGCCTCCAGATCATCTAAAGATGCTCACAGCCAACTCCAGAACCGGCCCTCCTTCAGCTCAGTGCCATCCCAGCCCTCCCTCCAGCTGTGCTCACAGCTCAGTGCAAACCCAGTCCTCCAGGGCAGGGCTGGAGCTCTGAGCTGACCTGCTGCAGGTTCTGCCTCATTGCAATTACCCAGCAGACTTCATGCAGCATAAAGCCTGGGCCACGTAGCTGGATCTTTGCTGTCTGATGCTGAGCAGATGCAGCTCCTTGCACTTAAGGAGCTGTGCAGTGTTACTTACAGAGAGGAGGACCAAAGAGCACAGTGTCCAAAGCCTTCAGCTGCAGCTTCTGCCTATGGCTGCGGTCTGTCATCTTCAGCACAGTCCCCATCATGGTGGCATTGTTCACTGCTAATCTGTGAAACGCAAGGAGGAGGCACAGTCACATCCATCCCAATTCATGAGGGAACAGAAGTTAATAATATGGGAGCTATGGACAGAGAAATGGGGTGAGCAGGAGCAGAGAGCTGCCAGGGCTAAAGGAAGCCCTCAAGTTGTGTTATTTCTGGTGCAGATCACAGAATGGGTTGCAAAGGAGCACAATGCTCATCCAGTTCCAACCCCCTGCTGTGTGCAGGGTCACCAACCAGCAGACCAGGCTGCCCAGAGCCACATCCAGCCTGGCCTTGAGTGCCTGCAGGGATGGGGCATCCACAACCTCCTTGGGCAACCTGTTCCAGATCTGTACCAAAAGCAACATCCCTGCCTTCAGCCCCAGAGAAAAGCGAAGGCTTTCCCTTCATCCTGACTGCTCACACTCCTTCCTGGGCAAACTGAGCTTGTCAGTGCCCTGCTAACCATGCATGCATCTATTAATCAAATCTACACTGCCAGCTGCTGACAGCTGACTTTTCGGATTGCAGAGCACATTTCTCACGTGGGATGCAGCCAGCAGGGACCATCCCTGTGCTGAGGATGATGAGTTACAAAGGAAGTGTGGGCAGAGCCGGGGCACCGCCTGGACCTGCTCTGCTCCAGCTTAGGGCTGCAGTCTGAGCACACAGCTTCAGGCTGATGATGTCTGCTGTGCAAGCCAGCACAGCAGCACTGACAGCCACAGCACCTGGCCAACCTCTCTGCATGCACAACCCCGCAGTGAAGCCTGCAGCACAGCCAAACACCCGGAGCCAAGCTGGGCTGGCACAGGAGTTGCCCACAGCTCCGTGCACAGGATTGGATCACTGCTGCTTCGGCTCTGCTCCATCCCTGGCACACATCACAGGGGCTGAGCACTGACCTGGGCATGGCGTGTCCGCTCAGCTGCAGCTTTCTGAAGGTCTCCTCGTACTGTGGCAGCTCCACGTAGGTAATGAGCCACTGCACCACCTCGTCAACTGTCCAGTTGTACACTGTGAGCAAGAAACACACGAGCAGCTTAGCATTATTGCTGCTGAAACCATCCAGGCAGCATTAGTGTGAATGGTAACCACACCATGTGCACCTCCTCCATCTGCCTTCAGCAAAGGGAGAACAGCCGTGGGGTTGGAACAGCAGCATCCTGGCTGTATGGAGCCTGCTCTGCACTGGGGTTGGACTCAATGATCTCTGGAGGTCGCTTCCAGTCCCTACAATTCTGCGATGCTGTGATCCCTGGGGAAGGCAGTGAGTCCATTCACTGCCCCATGGACACGAGAAGCATCTCCCAGCTCATCTCCCAGCACACTGCAGAGCTCAGTGCCTGCAGCAGAACCACGGCAGAACGGACAGGAGCAGGGCCAGCAGCTTGGCAGAGGGCTTCAAAGGAAGGTGTCATCTCCAGCAAACTTGGGAACTGACTCAGATGCATGTCAGCAAACTGCCCGAGCTTAAGGAAACTCCCTGTAGTTACCATCCCCAGCCCACAAACTGCAGGAAACTCATTTCTGTGCCATGGGAAGGCGCTGGGATGGAAGCCAGCACCCAACAGGAGCCATGCCCCAGGGCCCGAGGCACTGCTGGGCAGACACGGCCTTCAGGAGCTCTGACTGACCCGGGGCAGAATGCCAGACAGAGCCTCTGCTCCCTGCTGGGAGCCACAGGAGGCCTGGGATGAGTTAGCACAGATTCCAGAAGTGTCTTCTGACAGTCTCAAGTTATGAGAACTGCTGTTGATGACGGTGCTCAGATCCCAGGCAGCCCACACCCCAACCTGCCCAGCCCTTCTGCACTGCTCTTCTATGGGAAGGGATGGATGCTCAGCATCCCAACCACATTCAGTCTGCTTCTGAGAGCCACAAGCATTGAGAGATTTATCCATGGCCCCCAGCGGATCCATGAGCCAGCAGTGTGCTCTTGTAGCTCGGAAAGCAAATGGGATCCTGGGCTCCATCAGCAGAGGGGTGGCCAGCAGGGACAGGGAGGTGATTGTCCCCCTCTGCTCTGCTCTTGTGAGGCCCCATCTGCAGCACTGCGTCCAGGGCTGGAGCCCCCAGTACAAGAAGGACAGGGAGCTGTTGGAGAGGGTCCAGAGGAGCCACAAAGATGAGCAGGGGGCTGCAGCACCACCCCTAGAAAGACAGGCTGAGGGAGCTGGGCTTGTTCAGCATGGAGAAGAGAAGCTGCGGGGTGAATCATTGCAGCCTTCCAGGACCTAAAGGGAGCCTACAGACAGGAGGGGAGTCAGCTCTTGAAAGGGGGAGATAACAGCAGGACAAGGGAAATGGTTTGAAGTTGAGGGAGGGCAGATTTCAGTTGGATGTGAGGGGGAAGTTGTTTGCTGTGAGAGTGGTGAGGTGCTGGAACAGCTGCCCAGAGAGGCTGTGGATGCCCCGTCCATCCCTGGAGGTGTTCAAGGCCAGGTTGGATGGGGCCCTGGGCAGCCTGGTCTAGCATTAAATGAGGAGATTGGTGGTTCTGCATGTGGCAGGGGGGTTGGAGGTTCATGATCCTTGAGGTCCCTTCCAACCCTGGCCATTCTGTGATTCTGTGATCAACAGGACGCACAAACACACACACGTGTGCCCTGGGTGCACCTCCCGTGCTGGCACAGATCCACCAGGACCTGTGGTTTTACAGCTCAGCTTCAGCTGCCCAAACAGGGCTCTGGATGAGGCCAGCAATGCTGGAAGAGCCCTTTCTGTTATCAGACAGAGACACAGAGCAATGGGAAAACAACGCTGAGTGCTGACCAAACTCACTGCCACCAGAAGTGATGCTGCACAGAGATGCACCACTTCCGGCATGTGTCACCAACAGGAAGGGAGCAAAAGCAAAAGGAGAGAAGTTTCTAAAGAAGAAACGCAGGGCAGGGCGGCAGGGGGAGTTTTAATGTTTTTCAGCACAGAAATTCTAACATCCTGATTGGGGAGAAAGTGAAACTGTGCCATAAAGTGGCAGGGAACCCAAAAGTTTCCGCACCGGTTCAGCAATACTGGGGGTTTCCCACCAGGGACTGAACTTCCCCAGCCCTGGGTGAGCTGCTGTGCCCAATGCACCCGGCACAGCTCTGAGTTTAGGACTTTACCTCCATCTGAGGGTGCCTCTGGGGTTCAGTAAACTTCTGTGGGTAATTTTATCAGTAGACAACACACAGCTCTGCTCCATACGGAGGATGCTGCTGACCCATAGAACACGACCTGAACCTCGAGGAGTTGGCACAGGGCAGCACATGGCCCTATTCTAACATATATTTATAGGAACAGAGAAATGAAACCAATCGTACACACACAGAATGGTTTGGGTTGGAAGAGACCTCAAGGATCATAAAGCTCCAACCTGCCTGCTGCAGGCAGGGCCACCAACCTCCACATTTCAGAGCAGCCCAGGCTGCCCAGGGCCCCATCCAACCTGGCCTTGAACACCTCCAGGGATGGACGGGGCATCCACAGCCTCTCTGGGCAGCTGTTCCAGCACCTCGCCACTCTCACAGCAAAGAACTTCCCCCTCACATCCAACCTCAATCTTCCCTCCCTCAACTTCAAACCATTTCCCTTGTCCTGCTGTCATCTCCCCTTTCCAAGAGCTGACTCCCCTCCTGTCTGTAGGC